AGGTTTCCCATGGATTTCCATAGGTTTCCCATGGATTTCCATGATTTTCCCATGGATTTCCCATGGAATTCCAGGCAGATTTAGCCCCCCACGAGCCAGCTGGGGTGGTCCCGGAGCCCCCCCGAGCGACAGCGGCCGTGGCTGGAAGAGAAGTGGGCGTGAGAGCGGAGAGAGAATTCCAGAGGGAGGATCCGAGGAAGATTCCGGGGCTGGGCACGGCCGCAGGGTCCCGGTACCTTCTGGGCCCCGGAGAAGGCGTGGTAGAAACTGGACACGTAGGTCATGATGGCCTTCTCGTCCGGCCGCGCCGTGTTCACGATGTCTGCAAGGAACCACACTGGTTATACTGGGAACGGACTGGGAATGGACTGGGGACGGGCACGGCGCCTCTCCCGGCTGGAATTCCGCTCCAAGGAGCCCAAATCCTGGGGAAATCCATCTGGACAGGACAAAACTGGTGCTAAATGGGAAAAACCAGGGTGAGGTTGGTCCTCCATGGATCCTGGAACTGTGGGATCAGAGAGTTATGGGATGCTGGAATTGTGGGATGATGGTTAAACTGGGAGCAAACTGGGGGCCGGAATTCCGCTCTGAGGATCCCAAATCCTGGATAAATCCACCCATGCAGTGGGAACCGGTGCTAAAGGGGACAAATCCAGGTTAAATCTGCTGCTCCCTCCTGGATCCGACGCTTCCTCCGAGGAGATCCCTGGAAACGATGCCGAGATCTCGGAATGTCACACTCACCCTCGGCGTCCAGCATCTTGGGAATGTCCAGGTACTTCTCGGCCACCTCGAAGGCGTTGTTGAGGTTGGTGACGGGGTCATCCTATGGGAAAGGGAGGATGAGGGGGGAATTCTGGGGCTGGAATTGCTGGAATTGCTGGGATTTCTGTGGGAAAGGCGCCGTTTACCTTCCGCAGCTTGTCGTACTCGATCAGCTCCGGGCGGTGCCGGTGGATCAGGGCGTTGAAGGCCAGCCCGTCCTTCCAGCTGTGGGAAAACGGGGATGAGATCATGGGAAAATGGGGATCAGATCATGGGAAAATGGGGATCAGATCATGGGAAAACAGGATCAGATCATGGGAAAACGGGGATGAGATCATGGGGAAAATGGGGATCAGATCATGGGGAAAATGGGGGGAAAATGGAGATCAGATCTCGGGGAAAATGGGGATCAGATCATGGGGAAAATGGGGATCAGATCATGGGAAAATGGGGATCAGATCATGGGGAAACAGGGATCAGATCATGGGGAAAATGGGGAGCAGATCATGAGGAAACAGGGATCAGATCATGGGGAAAATGGGGGGAAAATGGGGATCAGATCTCGGGGAAAATGGGGAAACTGGGATCAGATCATGGGAATCCATGAGGGAAATGGGGATCAGATCCTGGGGAATCCATAGGGAATTCTGTTCCTGCCTGGCCCCACCCCGCCCTGGGGAAGGGGAAGGGGAAGGGGAAGGGCAAAGGGAAGAGGAAGGACCTGATGTGGAAGTTCTGGACGTTGACGTTCTTGTACGGAGCCGTTTTCCGCTGGCACCAGAGCAGGAGCCCCTCCTTGGCCGAGGTCTCTGTGGGAACGGGGATCAGGGACACGGAACCAGATGGATCCCGGGGATTGATCCCAGGGCTGATCCCAGGTGATCCCAGGTGGATTCCCTGCCCTCACCTTCCACAGAGATGTCCTGGATGGCGAAGCGCAGGATGATCGTCCAGATCATGCCCAGCGTCATCTTGGCATTCCCGTCCACGATCTCTGCCGGGGAAAAGCCACGGGGGAATTGTGGGAATTGTGGGGGGAATTGTGGGAATTGTGGGGGAATTGTGGGGGAATTGTGGGGGGAATTGTGGGGGGAATTGTGGGGGAATTGTGGGGGGAATTGCGGGGTGCTGGCAATGGGGGGTCCAGGATGGTGGAACCAAAGAATCCCAGAATTAGGGAATCCTGCAGTAATGGAATCATGGGATACGGGAATCCTCCAGGATTTATGGGGTCTTAGGACATAAAGCCTGAGAATTATGGGATCCAGAAATTACGGGATTCTGGAACAGTGGGATTGCAGAACTGTGGGATCCTGGAATTACCGAACCCAATAATTATGAGATCAGTGAAATCCTGGAATTATTTAAATTGGAGAAGATCTCAAAAACCACAGAGAGAGGAATTCCAGTGGGGAAGGAAGCGGCACAGAGAGAGGAATTGCGGGCTCCTCCATCCCAATTGACATTCCTGGCATCTCCAGCGGCCCCAGCCCTTGTTTTTTTTTGTTATATTTGTTTTTTTGGGAATTGCCGGGATCGGGGCGGTGCCGGGTGTCTCCTGCCCACACCTCGGGGCCGGGGCCGGTCGGGACTCGCTCGCTCTCGGGAACGCCGCGTTTCCTGAGGTTTTCCAGCCGATCCCAACAAACCGGCCCGGCCGGAGCCGCTGCCAGCCCGGCAGAGCCCGCCCGGCCCCGGGGCAGCCCCGGGGAGATCCCGCAGGGAATCCCGGTGGATCCAGGATGGATCCCAGTGGATCCCAGTTCATCCCAGCTCATCCCAGCCATTCCCTCAGCCCAGGCTCACCCTCGGCGCCGATGGACACCAGTTTGACGCCTTTGCTGGCGATGAAGTCCAGGGCTTTGTTGACGTTGTTGATYTTGTGCACCCTCATCTTGCCCCGCTCCGGCTTCGGGAGCCGCTCCCCTGCAACGGGAACGGGGTCAGGGCAGGGTACAGGGTGCAGTTTGGAAGGTTTTGGGTGCACTTTATAGCGTTTTGGTTGCAGTTTGGAGGGTTTTGGTGCAGTTTGGAAGGTTTTGGTTGCAGTTTGGAGGGTTTTGGGTGCAGTTTGGAGGGTTTTGGTGCAGTTTGGAAGGTTTTGGTTGCAGTTTGGAGGGTTTTGGGTGCAGTTTGGAGGGTTTTGGTTGCAGTTTGGAGGGTTTTGGGTGCAGTTTGGAGGGTTTTGGTGCAGTTTGGAAGGTTTTGGGTGCAGTTTGGAAGGTTTAGGGCCCTGTTTGGAAGGTTTTGGGTGCAGTTTGGAAGGTTTTGGGTGCAGTTTGGAGGGTTTTGGGTGCAGTTTGGAAGGTTTTGGTTGCAGTTTGGAAGATTTTGGGTGCAGTTTGGAGGGTTTTGGGTGCAGTTTGGAGGGTTTTGGGTGCAGTTTGGAAGGTTTTGGGTGCACTTTGGAGGGTTTTGGGTGCA